ATTTGTAACGATCCACTTTTTTTATTGTTATATATTCACTGTTAGGTTTAACATGTTTCTCTACAAGTATATTTGTAACGATCCACTTTTTTTATTGTTATATATTCACTGTTAGGTTTAACATGTTTCTCTACAACTATATTTGTAACGATCCACTTTCTTTACTGTTTTATATTGACTGATAGGTTTAAAATGCTTGTACAGAAATATATTTGTTAGAATAAACTATCTTCACTCTTGCATAATAATGTTTGGTTAATAATATATACATTCTTAAACTTCCATCTTTATAACTTACTCAATAATTATATAACTTCAGGTACTTGTACGTTACACCTCACATAAAGTTCAAAGTTCTACTATACTTTATAAATATATTCCTATAAATTTCTTCTTTAAAAGGGTGCTATTGTTCCTTTCTGGAAGTTTTAACATGATGATTACCTTTACATTCTGGAACAGGTGCTGACCACGTGCCATTATCGAGGCAGGTCACTTCAGCCTCTCCTTTCAGTCCATATCCTACTGGACATGAGAAAGTAGCCTTGGCCATGACCTCACGACTAGGAGCATGAACAATTAGAAGTCCACCAGTATCATTGGTCATTTCTGTACATTCAAGGGCTAAGAAATCGTGAGAAAGCATTGGTTCTTACTGCCAGAAGAAAGTACAAATATAATGCAAAACTATATTTATTGAAATATAGGGTTAAAACTGTCACTACAAATATACCGCTCCAATACAGCCTTAAAAGTAAACTCAACAGAAAAACAAAAACTATACGAAGCAAAAAAAAGAGTTAATAAAAAAATATTTTGAAATTCTCCTCAAACTAGATAAACCCAAATTCATTTGCTGGAAATCAGAGTATACAGTTAGATGAATGTTTATATAGAAATGAAGATTTAAAACTAAATACTGACCGAAACATTGTGCAGAATATCGTTTTCTTGAAAAATAATAGTTACGTAATGTATTAAGTGGGTCAGAGCAAGGATTCGTTGATGTATGTCTGTGGACAATAAAAGAGCAGAAGTGTGTTGTGTTTTGATGAAAGTGTAGTATTCGATGGTACGTTATTGAGCAGAATGAGTGAGTGTAAATGTGGAGTGTGACCGAGTACAATGAACAACCAAGTGTATATTATGATGTAAGAGCAGGATTCTGTGGAGTGTGACCGAGTACAATAAACAACCAAGTGTATATTATGATGTAAGAGCAGGATTCTGTGGAGTGTGACCGAGTACAATGAACAACCAGGTGTATATTATGATGTAAGAGCAGGATTCTGTGGAGTGTGACGGAGTACAATGAACAACCAAGTGTGTGTTATGATGTAAGAGCAAGATTCTGTGGAGT